AACTCTATGCTCTCGGGCACCATGGCGTTCGCCGATATTTTAACGCGTGCCCGCCTCTGTGCAACCACAATAAAAATGTGTTAGTTTCCAATAAAATTCTTTATAAATGTTTTCTCATTTTTAAGGAAACAGAAATTGCGTCCGACGCAGATCCCAGCACAAAGGGAAATGCGACAGATCTCTTTTTATGTGTATGTATTAACTCTATCCAACTATAAATTCACCTTGAAATCGTAAATGGTGCCTGCCGTCCAGCAGATATTCTAGATTGTGCATTTAGGTACAAAATGCTGGAAGACACCTGCTCTTGAGTACAGGTCTTCAAAATTTAATAGCAAAGGAACTCACTGTCCTGTGCTTCTCATTCAAATTAATGGTAAATTTTTAATTTAAGATATTCTCGTGCATGGTCTTTATTTCTACAGCAAATTTTGACTAAGGTACTTTCGCAAATGATTTTTATCTTTTGCAGATTTTAGCTTAGATACCCTCGCAAATGATTTCTATGTAAAATTTTAACGGAAATACGTTGCAAATGTTATTTATCACCGAAGGAAATTTTTACTGAGATTCTGTTGCAAATGGATTTTATTCTTATAGTAAATTTTATAGTTGTAAGGATTATGTTAATTTCATTAACAATTACATTTTAAGTTAAAGTTCCTTTCCTGTCGATTCTTAACTTCAACTTCAACTTACTACTTTCGGTCAGAACGTAGTTTTAGAATCACGTCTAAATACATAATGAGGAAGAGCGGTATTTAACCGCTAAGTTCTTCAGTCTTAGAGAGATACGAGGTATTGCGGTTGCACGTGTCCACGTTTTTAGGCTACTCTCTCGTAAGCTATTATTACGCTCGACCGTACTTTAGGCCCTTGATAGCTTCGCAGTCTGCTAACCTTAAGGGGCCAACTCGGTTAGTATCTTGATAGCTTCGGCTATATCTCTATAATTTAAATTAGTTTAGTGTTATTCTTACTCTCTTAAGTTCAAAGCCCAAGTGTCGGCTTTATTGTACACTCCAAGACGGAGTTTGTTGGAATAATAAAGGGCTAGTTTACCCTTCTATCTTGTTGTTTCCTGTCACACGAACTCAAGCGACTATTCGCTTATCAATTCTTAAGATTCTTCACGTTCAACAGTAACTCAGCGTTACATAGGAATCCTACATAGCCATATTCTCGTAGATGACCTCTATAATGGTTGCTGTGGTAATGAGACAGACAGCTTGTTGAAAGAGATAATTATCTTTTCATTCACCTGTATTATCAGCCAGTTTGTTTCAGTAAATCCTCACCGTGATGTATGCTACACGAGGAATAGTGTAATGGAGTAATAGAGTGTAATAGAGTCATTAGTATTTTTGAAGCAGGAGACAAAGCAATTTCTTTGTTGGGACTTGAACCTGGACTTCTCCAATATGCGCTGAATGTGCTACCATTACACCGCGAAGGCATGCTTTTAGGAGAAAGAAAATACCTTATATACTCCCCCTTTTTAAAGAGCGACTGAGGATTTGGAGACCCAATCGCCAAATCATGCTGGTGATTAATTGTCCACCACCTTTGAGTTCGGGCACCACGGTAGCGTCATCAGGATTTTTGATTTGGAGACATGAAAAATGAGCAATGCTCTCGCCGGGACGCGAACCTAGACCTCTCCAATGCGCGCCAAGTGTGCCACTGTCAGACCACGAAGGCATGCTCGAAGGTGGAAGAAAATACTTTATAGCCTTAAAATTTGTCACTGTTGGAGTTTATTTTTTATGAATTTTTAAAATGTTTCAGGATTTATAAATAAGTCTATATTGTAAAATAAACCAATTAAAATTATTTTAAGTTTTATAAATTAGATATATTTTGAAAAATTAAATGGATATATAAATTATTAAGTATTTTTATTACTGTCAAAAATCTGGGTTCATAAGCACCTACAATTATAATTAAGAATCTTATGCCACGTCAAATGGCAAAGCTCTAAGAATAGTATATCTATGCAATTACATATTTTTAGGTCAGGTTTTATGATTAATTCCCAGATGACCTAACATTATATAACCTGAGAACCTAAAAATTTGAATTGTTCCACTGTGAATGCTTCTAACATTCAATCGTAATAAATAAGTAAATAATTAAGGAGAAAGTATTATTTTAAATCTGTCAGGTTATTATAGAATGCACTATTTCTGTATGGAAAATGAAGCCTTATGCCATCAAATGGCTGTATCTCTGAACGCTGATAATTTGACAAACCCCGTAGATAAGAAATGCAAGATTCTTCACTGAACAGCAAAACGTGCTGCTCTCGTGATTCATAAATTCTCTAGCACACTATTCTCTGATTATTAGCTTAACGTAAAGAAATGGAACTCCAAAAATATAACAACTACTAGATTATCAGTATTTCGAAACGCATAAAAGGAAAGTCTGAATACTTCAGTACATATGGATAACCCGAAATTCTGCCTGTATTACTTGATATTTTTAGTCTGTGAAAGCATTTAAAATAACATCTTTACCATTCGTCATTCAAGCTTTCTATGAAAAGACATGGCGCATGACAGGCATGTTAAAATAAGTGTGCCTGTGGAGGACACTTATTTTAAGAATTCACAAAGAAATACGTTTATCATATGATCTTAAATTACAGTCAGTTATGTACAGTGGCTCCCAAAAGTGTTCGTACACTTATGGTTTTCATTGAAAAAGGGCTCTATCCATTAACCCTTTCCGGCAAGCTTCCTTTTAAAGTTGCAGTTTTCATAAAAAAATGGTAGGCAGTCTAATTAGACCTAGAGGAGTACACAAGTAAAATTTTGTGAAGATAGCACTTATCGTTTTAATTATGTAAGTGGGCCAATGTGGGCACACTGATTGAATAGAGCTTCGAAAAGAGTGCTGAAACGAGCATTGTCTGAGATTCGGAGAAATAAAGAATGCAGACTCTCAGTTGTCCTAGATTATCGGTGAGCCCGGTCTGGGCACACTAGGGTTTCCCCCAGACCGCAAGATTTCAAGGTAAATATTTAAAACTAATATATAATAAGGAGATTAGCATACAGCCAAAAAAATAACATACAAATTTCTTTTCAAACAAGTCCTTTTATACCCTAAAATAATCTGGAATCTTTTTCTTTGAAAAATGAGAGTCTTAAAAAACTAAACATGGCTAAAATATATGGACTGTTTTGTGTTGAGCTGCCATCTACTATAAATAAAGAAGGTTCAGAGTAACCTATAGTAACCTATAACTCCTTTTTAATTCAATTTTTCTGTGCGTGCAGAAGGAAATTTTTAGATGTGTCCAGGCCGGACACTTTGTGCCGCAAAGGGTCTCTGTCTCTCAAATTAATAATAAAAAAATGACAAATATTTTATCTCGCAAAAGTCCTCGTACACTTCAAAAACATCTTGACATATTAGTAAATATTTTCATTTTTCGTTGAATTAATATTTAGTAGGATATCCTTTAGCATCCACAACAGCTTTTAAACGTCTGGGAATAGATTTTACTAGTTTTCTTTTCTTTTCTTTTTTTTTTTTTTTTTTTTTTTTTTTTTTTTTTGTAATTTCTGTATCAATGTTCGTCATGACTTCTATCATGACTGTTTTGAGTTCGCGTTTCGTTTTGATGTCGTGTTTTCGTACTCTAACATCCAGTTCTTTCCAAATGTGTTCTATGGGGTTTAAATCTGGCAACTGAGGTGGTGTTTTTGAAACCTGTGTACAACTATAGAGACACCACAGGCGAACGTTGAGAGCCGTATGCTTAGGATCGTTATCATGATTAAAAATAAAGTTGTTTCCAATACCCAAATTTTGGGCTGATAATTTTAAATCATCTTCTTAAAATATTTAAATAAAGACAATGATTCATTATGCCATCAATAAATACCAAATTATTTAGTCCTGATGCTGTCATGCCCCCCCCCACACACACACATAAGAACACCTCCACCTGCCATGTTTAACTGTTCCGAACTAAGTTCTTAGAATGAAGTTTCCTCATTTTTCTTCTCCATACAGTTAGTTATTCGACCATCAGAACCAAAAATGTTAAATTTGCTTTCTTCAGCAAATAGGACATTATTCCAGTAAGTTTCGGGTGTACTTATCATTTGATTTTGCGAATGAAAGTCTAAGCTTTCTGTTTTTCTCGCTAACAAATTTTTTTTTACGGGCAGAACGGCCATGTAATCCAGCTTCTCTGAGAACTTGTCGAACAGTTTCAGGTGAAATTGTAGAAAATTTTAAATTGTAAAAAAGTAGAAAATTTTGCATTAAATTCTGCAGAAACTTTTACAGCACTCAAACGTGCGTTTTTCACAAATCTTCTAATAATAAATTTCTCATCACGTTTAGTTAACTTTCTCGGTCGACCTTTTCTTACCTTGTTTTCAATCCATTTTTATTCTTTAAAGCGTTTTATCACATGCTGCACTGTATAATGGGATAAATTAATAAATTTAGCGATATTTCGAATTTATTTACCCCTACTATGGTAAAAATTTATCAATTTTCGAATGCTGTTTGTAATTTCTTTACGACTGCGACCCATTTTTCAATAATAAATAGAATATTATGAAGTAAACAGTAAAAAATTAAAACGAATGATTTTTTAAATGCCACCACAATGCAAAAATAAAAAAAATCGGCAAACTATAATTCTAACTTTGATTTTATCCAAAAATATTTCAGTTTGGGAAGACTTTTGTGAGATAAAATGTTGGTCATTTTTTTTATTATTAATTTCTTAAAAATAAAGTTTCTCTATATTTAAAAAATATTTCATGTAATTTTGTTACGAATAGACTATAGATCTTATTATTAAAATCTCATTCAGAAAATTTACTTTTAATTAATGGATAAAATCCTCTTTCAATGAAAATAATAAGTGTACGAACACTTTTGGGAGTCACTGTATACGCAAAAAAAAAAATCACCCCATTCAATTTTATTGCATGCTTTTTCCTAATCAAATGATCTTCTGTTTATTATAGGCTTATGTAAGAGATACGACCCTTTTTGTCCTGAACGTTATAACATTCTTTGTGCCGGCCGCTCTGCCAGCTGTCTTAACAAGCATTAACGCACACGCCCAGAAGAGATTACGTAAACAAGGTATTTATTGCCTGAATTCCCGATACATTAGTCTCTGTGGAGGCTTAGATGTTACCTGCTTTGATAAGGTGATTAGATTTTTCTTTAAATATTCATTCAGAGTTTTGTGATTCAATAATGTATTCATGCACAATAAAAAAATGTCAGGTAGTTAAATTTAATAAGTCGGTGAATAGAAACAGAATAGTGTATGACACAAATAAGCACTCTAAAATACTTTGTAAGGTTTCATTAGCAACTGAAAGGTTCATCTATTATAAAGAAAATTCTAGTAAGAAATGCTTATGTACATTTTCATTAATTGTCTGTTGATTTTATACTCTGATTTACTATAACTATTATATTATTAAATGCCATATGTAGTGAACAAGATCTTTATTTTTATCGCAAATTTTACTCAGACGGGAACACTTACAGAAGATAGCCTTGGACTTCATACTTTGCTACCAGCAGAAAACGGAAAGTATGCCTTGCATTTATCAACCTCTTTTCTTAATTTTCAACATGGTATAATGAAAAGAAAACTCATTTCGTACATTTTCAATAGATTTCAGCCACCAGTGAAAAATATTAGCAGCCTGCAAGACAAACTTCTGGTGAACTGTTTTGCCTCGTGTCACTCTTTAGCGAAAATAGGAAATGAATTATTTGGGTACGATCTAGATGTCAAGATCTTCAAAGCCATTGTATGGGTAATAGTAGTTCATGTAATATTTTAAGTATGGAATTCTAAGGAATTATTAGAAATTCTGTATTTAATTTTTTTATGCTCGATATTGAAATTTGGGCTTGTGATTTTACTTCTACTGCTAAAACTTTTTTCATTAATATTTATTAAAATATTAAAATTCTTTCAAAATAATATATCTTCGTAAAACATTTACTTTACTACACTCATTATTTCGTTAAAAATATATTTATATTTTTTTATTTAATTTGCCCCAAAAATTTGATTTATAGGATTTACAAGAACCCTCAATTCAAGATACAGTTCCTTTTGAAAATATTCCTCCGAGATTAGTTTATCCTAATCCAGGCGGCCCCTTGAGTCAGGTGTGTATCGATTGATTGTTCATTTCGGTTTATCTCTGGTTATGAAAGATTTTTAATTTGATATCTAGTTTTCCAATATTTTCTTTAAGGAATTGAAAGCTATAGCTCTCCTGAGGCAATTTCCTTTTGAATCATCATTGAGAAGAATGAGCGTAGTCGTCAAAATAGAAGGAAGTAACTGCTTTGAAGTCTTCTTGAAAGGAGCTCCAGAACTCGTATGCTCGTTTAGTAGAAACGAAACTGGTGAATAGATGGTTAATGAAATGTTATTGAAACGATTTCACAATCATAATTTAAACTTCCATGTACTCTTTTAAAATGTTTCTATCTTTTTAAAATGAGACCATCATATAATCATGAAATATTTCAAGTTTTCGGTATATATTATTCTTACAGAAAATATAATGTGTTTTTAATTAAATCATTTTACTTATCATGAAAAAGAGTTACAACTTTTCGTTTTAATATCAATGCATGGAGAGATAAATAATCTTTATCTTTGTTGTATAAGATGATGTAAGTGATTTTATTTTAAAAGGGGGCAGATTTTTTATTACTTTTAGATAAATCGTTTAAATAGCTGTGTAGTAAACCAAATGTGCAAATAAACTCTCAATTTCAACTTCTTTTCCTTTTTTCAGTTCCTAAAAACATAAAGGATGTTCTGGAATTTTACACAGGTCAAGGATTTCGAGTTATCGGAATTGGTCACAGAACACTTCCAGAAAATACCACATGGAAAATGGCTTTGGAATTGCCCCGGTATGTCATAGCGGTTGTAATGTAAAGTCAGGGCAATGATTTGCATTAAAAGGATTTTAGTAGTAATAATCTTAAGTTAACAGATCTTCAGATCTTAATGCGAACGTAGAAATATGTAGTCCTGATTGCTTCATAAGCTTTTTTAAAATCTTGCATCTTTAATAAAATCGTTAACGATATCAAGAAGATTATAACTTACTACTAAATGCCTTTAAAGCAAATGTTTAAAGTGGGTAAGATAAAATTATGTTTTATAAATAGGTTAAAGCTACAGAATCTTATTCTTTCATTGCTTCTTCCATTTGAAGTACTCGTCTACAGTGACATGTCTCGGTTGATAAATAATCTGAATATCTAGTTGGGCTTGAGCGTGAACTTTAGGATTCCCGAATATGCTCATTGTGAAATTATATGTTCCAAATATAAAAGTGGCACTGAAGTGTTAACTGTTAGAAAATTGTTCCCACTTTATATTATACTTAATTCTCTAAAAAGCCACCCACCATTAGCCCTGTTGTCAGAGTTTAATAACATCGTTCTTTTAAGATCTGTATTTTATATCTCATATGATTCAAATGCTTCGCCATACTTTAAAACAGTAGTTGTCTCCTCTCTATTTAGCTTTTCTCATAACCATTGTTATAATTTCCGTTGAAGAGATTCAAATCCCGAGTTCATTTCCTTCCCTTTACTTCCGCTTAATGCGGGTAATTAACGCGTACGGATAATGTATGACGCATTACAGTCTCAAAGTAAAGAAAAGTTTTTCGACGGCAGGAAAATGAAGCATGTTACAATCATAAAGGGGATGGGAGCATTTGTTTTGAAATACACTTATTTTAAAGTAGTAACATCAGTGACAAGCATCTGTAACAACTTATTGCTGCTTTCTACGGATCTTTTCTTCCATCGTAAGCAATTCATTTTATGACGCAGCTCTTGTTCTTATTATAAGAGTTTCTGATAATCTAATTTAAAAAATAATTGTTCGCTAACTCAGAAAATGTTTTCAATATTTTAACAGATACCATTGCCTACAAAATCATGAACTCGTTATTTTAACATAACTACGACGATCAGTCTACTGTTAACCCCACGGGAATGACTTACCCCTGATATTTCAAGTACATATTACACACTTCGCGCAATAGAACTAGATATTAATAATTTCATTCTTTTACTAAATTAATCTTTATTTTACTCGTACTTAAACTATTCATAAATGACACTTGTCATAGGAGCAAACTCACTACATAGACTAAACGCCCACTCTTCTCCCATTCTTCAGAAACATTAAATGGCAACCAACTCCTAGGGTAATTAAACTGCAACTATCTGGGTATTAATGGAAAGAGTTGGGAACCAGAGATGCTATTATGTCCATTTAGCTTCTTTGTTTGAATCTGTAGAAAGAACCTCCTAAGGAAATGAGAATCAGCCTGACCTTCAAATGGATTTAGATCTCTTTGCCCCTTTCTAAAATACCGAGTTTTCCCGGCACTAGGCTGAAACAGACGCATGTTTTGGCTAGTTCATGTAAGATAACATATTTTCATTTTACATTTCAATTGCTTAGAATGATTCATGACGAGAACATTGACAACAGGTATCAATAACAACATAGGTAGTCGTATGAATTTCTTCCTCTGTCAGAAGTGGGTAACGTGGTGTAACTATGTGGTGTAACGCTGTTTGAGAAATAGCTATTGCTTGCATACGTTTGAGAAGTAAACTGGACAGTGAATCATAATCACCGCGTGTGACTTTATTCTACCAAATCATGCAAACTAATCCTAACCTATGGCTGGACATTTTCCTAACGCAGCTAGTACTTTTATGAGAGTTGCATAAGAAATGCAAAAGCAGTACCTTCATAGCATTGCTCCAGCATTAGGGTATCGACACATTTATGAAACATTGCTTTTTTACTCAAAATTTGAACTTGCATAACATGGCCGCGTTTTTATGTAAAAGGCATCATTTTACACAATATTTGAAACCCCTATATTTGCCGTATGTAATTGCCGACGTAGAGAATAGCAGTGCAAAGAAATATTTCTTTGTGTATTTTTTAGCAGTTTTTTATTTTTATGCTTTTTTATGTCTTTTCCAATACCTGTTTTGTATATCCTGTTTGTATATCCCATTCAATTTTCTGCAACGCTTCAAACGAATCTCTGCTGCAATTCTTCGGATGTATTTCCTTGAATTTTGCTGAATAATAACACTTGCCATTTTTTCAGAAGTAACTTCAGTTTGCCTGCAACCAAAATTCCCTACCAGATCGTGGGCCACATCCTGTCCGTTGGACATTTAGCGAAGAGCTTGTGAATATTTTTCCCAGCCGGTCCTTTAGAACAATTCAATCGTGTTTGAAATCTGCGCCTTGTTGCCATAGGACTGTGATCTAACCTCTGGTATTCCAGTACCAGAAACACACCTTATTCCAGTGAAATACATAATTTCAACCTGCTTTCAAGTTTCAAGGGTGGAATTGATCGGTCTTACTTAATCTTGATGATCGCTTTCTAAGTGGTCTTCTACCTTTGGGCCTTGACCACTATATTTTCTCATTTCTCCTAAGGCAAACTTATTTTTAAAGCATTCGTAAAATCAAATATTTATAAAACGTATCCACTATATAGTATAGTGCTGCACTTCACAGATGATTTTGGGACCATTTATCTTAGAAAATCTTCTAAGCAATTATATAGCAGTAGTTAGAACTTATTTTACATGACGTACGATAGCAATATTTGTAAACTTAATTTCACATAATGATACGTTAAAAATGCATGTATATTCTTAACAATTATTGTATAAAATAAATATATATAATTCTCACGAACTGTGGAACACTCTTTGCAGATTAGCGCTGACTGACCAATCAGTAGTCAGCACTATACACATACTAAAATACAGTTAATTGCATTCCTCTATCGGCCTTTGTTTTCGAGATATTTAATTTGAAATCAGGGACTCCTTTTCTGGACACCTTGTATATAATACTGAATTTTATATGTAAGCATCTTTTCTTATGAAGTAGCTCATATTTTACAAATTTACACACTTATATAAGAATAAAGTACCAAAAATAAGACTGGTATAATTGAAGCGTTATGAAGAGTTGATTCATAATATTTAGTCCATCAACCCAGAACCCAGAATTTGAGTATAGTGTAAAACAGCAGTATACAGTATGGCATTTAATTTTAATTTTAATATAGCAATTTGTAAACGAATACATTGATCGTAGTTGCTGTTCCCAAAATTAAACTGAATAAGTATCAAATTAGAGAAATTTATTAAAGTTTATTTTACTTGTATATCATATTTATTGTTCACAAGATTAGATACTATTTTAACTGAAGGATCTGCATTTTAACTTATTTATAATTTAGCTTGTGATGCGATACCCAAACGCGAAATAAATGCTATTGCACTAAGAAGATATTATTTTAATGCTAGTTTTTAATCGATGATGCATTTATTTTTCATTTTCATTTCAGAGAAGAACTAGAGAAAGATTTACAGTTCTTAGGATTAATAATATTGGAAAACAGCTTGAAACCAGAAACAATACCATCGCTGAATGTATTGCGGGATGCTAATATAAGATCAATTATGATTACAGGTAAAACATTTAGTACTGTACTCCACAAAAATAATTATAAATTTTTCATTCATTCCTTGAGATTTTGGGTGGCTATAAATGTTTTATATGGACCACATAAGAAAATTTAACTATTTCTTAAAAGCAGTAGGCATGTTAATATATTCACTATTGTAATTTTAAAAGTCCCAAATAAATAGTGCTATTATATTGCTTGTTTCGCAAAAGTGTTTTTAAATTAAGTTTGATAATTGTAAGAATATTTTAAGAGAAGAGAAGAAATATATTTCATATATTAGCAAAGTGCAAACGAAATTATGTTTTCTTTTATCATTTTCTTTATATGATTTCTATTTATTCATACTGTCATAGTTATTTTCTAATAACCTCGAAAATAAAGGATGGGTCATATTAATGCCCAGACATTAACACTGTAGCGAGTCACGATAGGAAGGAATGGTGTCAAGTATTTGACAAAAATTCGCATATCCAGTTCAAGTAGCGGTGACTGCCATCAGTATAAAAGCTTGAGATTCGAGCTATTTTGGTGCAGTTCAGTTCTGAGTCTAACAGAGTTAAAAAATCTACCAGCAGCTCCAGAGAGACTGAATCCATCCTAGCAGCCCTGTCCAGTCCAGAGCATCCGAGCAAACTCTACAAGAGTATGGTCTTATTCTAGAATAAATGACTGGCGTCCATCTCGAAATGACCAAGCGGACTTTACAACAGAGGAGTGGCCATATTTCTTATAAGATGGCGTTATAAAGTACAGAGCAAAATACAGGACAGCGTGACTAAATGACAATATCGAGTATCTCAGGAAGTCAGGGATTGTATCATGAGATATCTAGCTGCATTTGAGATGTTGTTTTGTTAACGTTTCTGTGTTGTGATAAATTTCTTCAATCACGTTGGTTGCAACAATAAAACAGTATTTTAATTAAAGCTTCGGTATTACTGAAAAATTATAGATTCGAAGTCAGTTAATCGCAAGTTTTAAAGAATAAAATTCATAGAAAAAGTAAGATTCAAGTCCAAAAGTTAACAAATGGAGTTATGGCATAGAAAGCGAAATGTTTTATATTTTTCGTAGCTTTAAAAGTTTCCAGTGCATTTCTTCTTCCTGACATGACAAATGTTAGCTGCTTCCACAGTTATTCAAATGTTGGCTGATCCACCTGTGTGATAGTCGTGTTAATACATTAATTAAACTAAACGTCAAAGCAAAATGGTGCAATTATTTGATCTTTACTTAAACCTGCAGGATGAAATTTTATGGAACCATATTTAGCAAGATGGAACGAACAGCTACATGATCGATCTATCTGCTAGAAAACTACTCACTAAGATAGGCACAAATCTCTCTCTGAAAATCACAGTTGAATTACATTGAGAAAAATTATTCATTCAGAGTTGTCTCAGTGATAAAAAATGGATCTTTGTAGAGGACATAGTATAGCTTTATTTTTCGAGAATCATAGATGTTTTTCAATATACAAAAAATTAATATTTCATAAGGTCCTATACTTTTATATCACTTTGCTCTATCAGGGAAATGGAATTTATTTCCTCTCTAAAATGATTCTTTGACGGAACTGTCTCCGTATGTTCCACGGACCAATCTAAAAAATCGCAATCATCGGCTGCGATCGTCTGGTGACACAGCTTTGAATTTACTGCGGTCTATATCAGGGGTTCTTAAACAAATAGGGCCCCTTGGGAGAATTTCATAGCTTCAGGGTGGAGAATGCGGTCTGCATTTCATTTACTCGTTATTTATTCAGTTTTAGTTTATAAATATAAAATCTACTTTTATTGAAGTTTTAATATTTATCAGTATTTTCTATATATATACTAGTTGAATTTATAAAACACATTAAAAATAACTCTTAAATTTAAATAAAGGTTTTTCCGATTTTCGCAGAGGCGCGGTAATGATCGCCTAGAAATGGTGAAAGAGATACACGGGCAAAAAAAATCTGTATGTATAACAAGCTGTGGTTTATGCAAAATGCACCATACTATTTCCTGTCTGATGTGTTGATGTTAGCCGGAAGGCCTAGAGAACTTGGGAATTCAGCTGAAAGTTCTTTAATTTGGTCTACTGTTTTCTGCAATGGACATTTTTTCAAGTATTGGCGTATTTTATCTCCTTTTTATTGTACTTTTTTGTTTCTCATTGCATCTTTTCCAAATAGAGCATGAAAGGACCTCGAAATATGAAATTAAATCACGATTTTGTGTATTTATCATATTACTGCTACCATATTCAGGGCTAGCCAAAATGTTGGAAGCAATAATGATTCAACCTTAGAAATTCTTTTAAAATTCTCTTTCTATTATAAATTCAGTACCGTACTTTTATGAAAGAAAAAAATCATAATTCGAATCTAAATTATAATCATTAAAATGTGTCGAGTAAGTATAAATAGAATCTACCAGATAGAATTTTAAATTAATATGAGGCTCAATTTTTTATTAACGTTTACTTTTAAAAATTCCGTGAATTTTGTAAGAAACAGACGCGGGATCTTCTTTTTCTAAACATAAAACCTATCCTGCTTCTTGAAGAATAGAGATGTTGTACCTATTTATATTCACGAATTCATCAAGCACTAAACTTTATTCAATTCCAAACTTTGATGAAAAATTTCCTCGAAATTTACTGTTGAACTTTATAATCATACACCGTTTCACCTATATTAATCGTTAAAAGAAATACATTTCTTTAAAATGCTTGAAGCATTTATTTTTCATTTTCAGGTGATAATCTGTTGACAGCTATTACTGTTGGTAGAAAATGTGGTATGATCGGAGAACTGGATAAGATAATTAAAGTTGAAGCATCTAAAACTTCTACCTTGAATGCGAATTCCGAAACACATCTGAAAATTGAATTCAATTCTATTAATCTGCCTTTCCTGGCAGAAGAAAACCAGAATGACAAAGCTGTGAGTAACATTCGTAAAAAATATTAATATATAATTTTTATGAATTTATTTAAGAACAATAAATCATAATCAGCATTTCTTTTTCTGAATAATTAACTTTACTTTTTTTATTCTAAGAAGACACCGATTGCAGGATGAATTCTTTGATTTTAGTCACTACCAAACGGAATAAAACAAATGAAATAAAATGATAAAAATACATCCATAAAATATATTTTATAATAATCGTCTCTTCAGTCCTTTTTTTTTTTTTTTTTTTTTTTTTTTTTTTTCGAATTTTATACGGAAAAAAACGATAGATTTGAAAAATCGAAAAAATACAGCAATTTATTTTTTTTTTATTTATAAAGCAATAATTATGCATACGATATAAGATTTAACGATACAGATTTTACATTTATTGATGTAACGAAAGTCAATGAGTCTGTCACCTTCATTTAACTGACTTGTCGGAAAAAAAGTCGGAAAAAAAGAAACACATGCGCATATCTAAATACATAAAATGAAAAACTTAGCATTTATTAAAAAAAACCCTTAATCTCATTTTTAATTAGAAAATTCCGTATTTAGAACTATTATTTTGTCAACCGTGAGATTTTCGCCAAGCTGCGCGATTTATCGCCAATTATGGATAAGTTATTAATATAAGCATATTATGGATTTGAATGGGCGCAATTCATCCACGAGTTGAGAGTGTTATTGCTAAAAGGAAAAGTACGTTGATCGGATTGAGGACGTTCTTAGTAAAAACCAGCGTAAGAGTACCCTAATTAAGTGAATAACAATATACCTACCTCCATAATTTAAGTGTAAAAAATGTGGCTCTTTTAAGAGATTTCAATCATTGAACTGTTGATAGCTGGCTCTATTAACTAATGAGTTTGCCGACCACTGTTTTAAGGGAATACTCTTATACATTGTAAAAAAAATCTTTCGTACATTATTAAAAAGGGTATCAAACTCTGAAAACGTATGGGTTGTGATCCCCCCCGGGGTCGACGTAGAGAACTCTGCGAAGCTACTGGCTAGGATCTGTACCTAGGCAGTCTCGGCCACGGGGGTATAAAATTTATGAACTTGGTGGTTCTGAAGGCTCTGGGAAAGGTCACTTATTGGCCGGCCTCGGAGTCTGGCACGTCCTAGCGCGGCGTGGTGCTAGTAACCCGTGGGGATTTCCCCGGGTTCGCTGGGTAATGTCCCGCTGCGACGGGCTCGCCCGAGCGACTGGCAGGAGCAATTGACGACCGGTGCCGCCTGGTGACGTATCCAGGTGGTGCGCGGCTCTGCTGGAGGGTAATAGTGGAGGTTGAACCTCCACGACGTGCCCGAAGGCAGAGTCGACCTGTAGTGAGCTAGTTCTCGGAACAGGGAAGCCCAAACCTGTAGTATAGTATGGGTTGTGATGGTTTCTTGGACAAAAGTCCAAAGAAAAATTTTAGATATCTACAGAGTAACACAATTGCTTTCTGTTTATAACCTAAATTTTTGGAATATTCATAGAATATATAAAGAATATTCCCTATATATTTCTGAAAGTAGTCCTGGTGTATGAAAATGAACAAACACTAGTAGTATTTCATGAATACACCGGTCATCAAAATTAAAGGAGAATGACAGAAATAAAACGTAACTGATATTTAAAAATTATTAATAGAAATTTGCCCAAAAGCATTAGTTAACATAATTTACAATGTCTGGCAGTTGATTATTCGCAAAATATTGAAATTAAAACCAAACTTATGAGAATTTGAAAATGATTGAAAAATTAAGTCAGCTCTTGTGGAAAATATTTTCTTTAATATGGTGCATGGTAATCTCGCACAGATATGCACACCTCACATCTTGATTTCATAGACTTTACCAAAGTGTTGATAAAGTCTAGTGGAATTGCACGCTACTCTTCTAAAAGTACACTTAGCCCCTGGAATGTCCGGGGGGGGGAATTTCGTGCGCTTAAATTCGGCTCTGATTGATTGAATTGCCAATCCTTTCGAGTGGCATGTTCTTTTTGCAAGTATTCTGACACCACATATGCTCGATCAGGCCTAACATTGTCATCCATTAGAAAAACTTCCGGGGCACTAGAACCCCTAAGCAGTCTAATTTGAGGTTCCAATACCTGATCTATATATCTCTGAGTTGTTACAGGACCTCCTTGAAAGATATGTAGCTCGGTTCGAGTCATTATACCTCCCCAAACCATTAAATCGGGGTCGCGGAAACGGGATATTTCACGAACAAATGGAAGGCAAGTTCAAAGCATATCTAGAATCTTTGTTCTAACTATATCCGAACTCGTTAGTACAGAATACTCGGACCCAGTCGTCTTCCCTCCATTGAACAGGACAGCGGCACCAGTTTAAGCTGGATCCTTTGGAATCTGGAGTAAGTGGGATACAAACCATTTGTTCTATTGCATACAGTCCAACCTCGTTAAGCCTCCAGGCAGCAGTAGATAGGCTAATTCGAGTTTTTGTGGCAACCTGAAAGTCTAAAACCAAAGCTTCGCAAACTGATCCAGTGCTTAAAAAGGAGCTGTAAACTCTTGATATGGCTCTTTGAAGGTATTCAAATCCTTGGTGACCTGCATTTATGCTTCACCTCCTTCGGTTCCACCATTCATGCGTCACTTTTGACCTTCACTTAAATGATGCCTTTGCACTATAACTATTGAATACTTTTAACTGTCAGGAACCGCATTCGCTTTAACCAATTTAGAAACCGGATTTCCAACATGTGTCCCTTGCGCAGCACATTGTCAGTTACCGAATTTGCATATATTTCCTACTCTAATGTATGCGCGGAAAAACAGTTTTTCGTTCAGTTGTATTTATAATTAACGTAAATTATACAGTATTGGACACTCGTTGCAACATTAACTTAGTGAGCATATTTTTTCTCATTATCCTTTAATTTTGATGATCAGTGTATGTGAAGATTATGGAATTTTCTTCGATTGATAATTTTGCGCTGTCTACTCCATTATGACATATAAACTTTAAAATGCTAATTTGAAATAGATGCACACATATGCAAGAACTACCACTATTAAATACGAAAGAAAATATCACTGGCGCGTCCATCACGGTATTCAATTCAACAACTACGCTTCAGTAAAACAAGAGAGTCCATCCATGTCTGGTAGGAACGACAAAGTCATGTGTGGTAGGAAGGACTGATGAAATGGTTCGGCAAAGGCCACAAAATACTCGTAAAATTGTCACCACAAGAATAGCTTGAGAAGGGACAGATGAAGCAAAACCACGAAACGTGCACAAGAAAATGAATATTTTCACAGTAGGAAGACAGTCAGGAACGCGGGAAATATTTACCCTACAAAGAGCAAAATTTGGGGCTAAAGCAATTTTTACAACTAAAAGTCAAAAATGAAGAATCGATTAATTTTTTTTTTCCATCTTACAAGTTTTTTTTTTTTTTTTTTTTTTTTTTTTTTTTTTTCAGAAAGGAAAACCGGAAGGAACTAGCATTCCGAAAACATTATTTAGAGCCAGTGAATTTTTATTTTAAAAAAAAAATAATAATTTTTTAAAAACGACTTTCCAGGACAACTAGGAACGTTTGGCATTCCTGAGGTCAAACAATAAATTTGTTTAGTATTGATAATATTCTGTCTATCATTTGATGTAACTTTTAACTGGATTTAGATCAGCGGCAATAACTCATCTCACCCGACAATATAAATGAATAAAAAAGACAGCTAAATTTCTAATTCCAAGAAGTAAACAAAGCTGAATGCACCTAACAAAAACTGCTTCCTTCGCTTACTTCACATCCCAGAACTTCACAATAAAACTGTTTAAAAGCTGCAGATTTAATTCTGATATTTACCTATATCGTTTTATTACACGTGAAAATCTCGAATATAAAAATTAGTAAGATTCATAGAATTATTTAGTATGTTATAAATTTTCAATTGCATGTATCTTTATTTTCTCAACAGCAAATTTATTAAAAACTTATGCTGCTGCTAAAAGTTTCTCTATGATATTAAACAATATAATTTACTTTGTAAACAATACTTATTACCAGCAGCTTATAATGAATCTAATGTATTTTCTATGCATTTTCATTAATTTATTTTTTTATTTTTTTGGTATTTCCTCCCAGGAAACTCGAGTATTAGCAAGCTCCGAAACAACATATCATTTCGCTATGGAAGGAAGTTCTTTTGAAGCTCTTTGGAATTTTAATAAAAATTTACTTGATAAGGTACTAAAACTAATATTTTTTAGATATTTCATAAAAAAATTAATAATTTAACGCTTTTAGTATAAGTACTTGAACACTGTTTTCCTGAGAAGTATCACAAAATCGCATGTAACACTTCCATGAACATGGGCCAAAATGTTGCCCTAAAAATTACGGTAGTATTATCTTTAAGAAACTAGAAAGATAAAACTTCTCATGAAATAACATCATTTATTACTAATATGCTTAAGAAGAAGTAGAAATTCTCTCAGATAGGATAGTAGCTAGTGACGCTGATTGTCGTATCGAAAACCCTGGATTTGAATCCCGGAGAAGGCGTGGATATTTGTAAGCATTTAGTTCTGTGCAGCATGAGAGCCTTCAAAATATACTGCGGGCTGCAACTTCTTTCGAATGGTTGGATGGTAGAAAAAGAGGAGTGGATGACCCTTAGACGCGTCGCTCAGTGCTGTTTCTCAAAATTGGGTCTACTGTCATCTATACGGTGATCAAGTCTCATACCAACGACAGATGCAGTCTTATACTCCATGCCACTATAAAATTCGATTATTTGTTCTGATTAGGTTAGAGATGTCAAATTTCCCACAATGACAACATAAAGTACACATAGATGAAACCTCGCTACTTCTGTCCTCGAACAGAGCCGATAATATCCCACTCATTTGATTAGCACAGAGAACTTACTTCATTCTAAAGGTACATTAACATTAGCGGAACTTTGAGTTGAAGAAATGAACGCGAGCCAAACAGCTTTTTAATGGGATTAGATTCATTTGCTGAGAATTTATTTCAATCTTGAAATTTTGAATAATATTATCACTTAAGCTGTTTATTTGTTTTACGCCGCAACTGTGCAGGTACCCAAGTTGATTTCAAAAAGAGTGAGTGCCCTTTTTTTGCTTTTAACGGAACCGTCAAGTTCGCGCGTGCAAACGAGCATTAACGGGCGCATTCTCAAAATACCGCACTTCCCAATATTTTCAAGCAACTGTTAATAACTAACTATAAAATGTGATTAATAGTACATTAGCGGCACACTACCGGCACCATTAGCGCCGTTCTTAATTTTGCTTTAGCTTTCCGTTTGGGTATATAACAATTTTTTATCCTATGAAATATATATTTTGATGAGATGTTTCTAAATTTTAAATTTATAAGCATGCCATTTGCTTCTAATCTTCATTAGATTCTCCTTAACGGAACTGTATTCGCTCGCATGTTACCTGATCAGAAACGTCACCTTATCGAAGCTCTTCAAAATCTTGAGTAAGTATGAAAAAAACAACTTTTAATCGAAACTATAAATACGGTATGATACAGTATTTTTTATACCATTTTATGTTATTCTGCGTAATATTCTTAAGAGAATTTGCAAATTATGTCTATTTTTACGAAGAGCCAAAGGTACTGATTCTACCGAAATATTGTGCAAATATTCAGAGTCGAATACGTAAGCGTACACTTGTGTGGAGATGCGCGGAGGGTTTTCGGCGATTGGTGTAATCGTACTCCTTTACGACATTCGCCGAGTCTTCTGCAAGAGTTGGGTAAATTTTATAAGTATCAAATGAATGAGTAGCCACAAACGTATGGATCGCAGAATGAGTTGGAAAATTGTCGACAGATTGGAAGCAGGACAGTCACAAGCACAGATGGTAACAAAGCTCAATATAATCCAGTATATTCTGCAGTTTGTGGAAACAGTTACATAACAATGGATCTATATCGAGAAGCCCTGGACGAAGTTGACCAAAATCCACAATAACGAAGGAGGATCGTTATTTGGCATATTCAGCGCAACGAAATAGAATTGCTACAACTTCATAGCTCTCATGTGAGCTGTATGCTGCCACTGGAAACCGAATTTCACGGTCTACAGTTGCTCGAAGGCTTCATTAGATTGAGATGTATGCCAGAACATCCGCTGATTGCAGTAGACAGAGGAGAGCGGTTATCAAAGAGCAGACAACATGCGCCTTGTAGCAGGTATCCGTAGAGCCACGTGCCTCTTACAGATAAGTCGAGATTCAGCCTGGACACTGATTCTCGGAGTACTTGTATCTGGAGATAATCTGAAACAGGATACCATCCGTACCTCATCATGATAAAGGATCATGTAGATGTGAAGGTGTAATGATTTGCACGTATTTGACAAAGACTCTGTGACTGCTGTGAGATATAGAGAGGAGATGTATGTTCGACTTTTCAGGCCGCAGTTGGTCTTGGGTTCCTCTTAATGGACAATAACACTCATCCACATAGGGCTTAACTGGTCGACAATTACCTGAAAAGTGACGACGATATTTGCCGCACGAATTGACCATCCATATATTTTGACCTTAGTTCTACAAGGCTTATTTAGGACGCTCTTGAGATAGTAATTTCATTTCGCTATCTCCCTCCGCCCCCCGGAGAGTCAACGTAGAGAACTCTGCGAAGCTACTGGCTAGAATCTGTACCTAGGCAGTCTCGGCCACGGGGGTATAAAATTTATGAACTTGGTGTTCTGAAGGCTCTGGGAAAGGTCACTCATTGGCCGGCCTCGGAGTCTGGTATGTCCTGAGCGGTTGGATCCGTTTCCCCCGGTTTGCTGGGTAACGGCTCTCTGCGACGGGCTCGCCCATGCGACTGGCAGGAGCAATTGACGACCAGTGCTGCCTGGTGTCGTATCCAGGCGATGCGCTGCTCCCCTGGAAGGGTAATAGTGGAGGCTGAACCTCCACGAAGTGCCCAAAGGAGAAGTGGACCTGTAGTGGGTTTAGTTTACGGGGCAGGGCAGCCAAGAACTATCTTATCTTATCTTATCCCCCTCCGAGAACAATCCCGGTATTAAAAACTGCCTCGCTGCAGAAGTGCGATCAACTGCCGCAAGGTCTTCTCACCTGCCTCTTATCTAGTATGCCGTCACATTGCGCAACATGTCTGAGTGTGAGAGGGAACCATACCCCGTATTGGACTCATTTTCAGATCGATGTCTTAATGTGGATTTTGAATATCCCTGCACTATGAACACTTCTGATAATCATGCATAGATAAAATAATTTTTAATTGTACATCTCTTTCTCTGTTATAAATGTATATTTGCACCAGATTTCATTAAGACCTATCCATTAGGTTTAGGTTTTCAGAAGTTCAATATATGCAAATTATCTTAATTTTGCATACGAGTGTGCACATATATATTAAATAAAAATATAAATCGAATAAATGGAAAGCTCAGAAATTAACGCAGTTTATTATCTTTTGCAAGCTATCAAGTTGGCATGTGCGGTGATGGAGCAAACGATTGCGGAGCACTGAAAGCAGCCCACACTGGTGTATCGCTATCTGTAGCCGAAGTATCAGCTGCAGCTCCATTTACCTCTTCTAAATTTAATATCGAATGCATCCCCACTGTCATCAGGTGAGGTTATTTCATTCACAAATGTTTCTTTGAGAAAAGTCTTGAGTAATTTACCTGTGTATATTCTATAAAGATTTAATTTATTTTTCTTTCTTTTATGCTACTGGGAGCAATTTTTTTAATTAATCTTTAAATTCAAAATATGAAATCTTTGCTTAACTGTACTTTTATATTTCGTACGAAGAGATTAAAATAATTATAAAAATGTTCCCAAACGTAGTCATATAGTTATAATCAACCTGTTTTAGTATGAGATGTTTTGCCTGTTATTAAAAGCATTTGGTTTAGGGCTATCAGCAGAACCATTAATTGATAACACGTTCTCTAATCAAGATTTTGACCTCTTTTTTTATTTTGAACATACATGGTCGTCCATTGCAAAGTGAACTTTTCGAAGCCCGAATTTTCAACTTCTAATTTGTTTTCTTTATTTATTTTATGTTTTGTGCAAACTTCATGAATTTTAGATTATTAAAAATCTAAGCGATTATTGCCTATCTCCGAAATAAAATACTTTACCTTCAGCACCAATATGTTGACATTACCTGAGCATGAGATACTTATTTTTCAAATTTAATCAACAAAGCAAGTGGTTTCAACAGCAATATGTTAGCTCTGTTAAAAATAATATATCGTGCGTACGGGTTCGTAATCGATTGAATGCAGACAGAACCGATAGTAGCTCGATAAATCTCATATTTCCAAAAGAAACAAAGTACGTACAATTTTGGAACTTTCCGCAAAAATACTCGTACAGCTCTTCTTGGTATCACAGAACATAATAAGTAGTTACATTTCAAATTACTAAGACCGTTATACACAACGCAATACAAAGCACATCTAAAGAGCCAAGCTCACGCGGAGATATCTCAATACTTCGTAGTCGGCTCTGAACTGAGAAACCTGAGAGCAGATACTGTCAGTTATGCCTGTTACGTACAGAATAAAGAATTATTTTTCTAAAACTGATTGTAAAATGGACTCAAAAGAGATTTTTTGTGACGTCTGTGCCTACGTACGTAGGTATCGATTAGACGTAGAACTTTGAAATTCTGTATATGGGACTGCTATAGGACTTCTAGTTATGTAAGTTACATTTTTATTGCAATAGGTAGTATTATAACACACACACACACACATATACGTATATATATATACTCCCTTACGTGGTTTTTATTTTCGCAATAGTTGATCGTTAGTCATATATATTTATTAAAGAGCTTAAGCAGAAAATATATCAACTTAGTAATCCAATGGTTAGAATATCAGGACCTCATTGGGGCACTCCAATCACTATACTCAAAAGCTGGTACAGAACAATCTCAGAAAAGATCATATTTTATGCGGCTGCTATATGGGGAAGGAAGTTTACTGCCCATATGAGGAGGCAGCTTCTTACCATACAAAGAATGCAACTTTTGATCGTATGCAAAAGTTATAGAACATCCTCAACTGCGGCACTGCAAGTGCTGGCGGGTATCCCTCCACTGGACCTTCTAGTGGAGAGAGAATCACAATTAGTAAGGACATTGCGCCTAAAAAATAACGTCTCTCTGTGGCAAAAGACATTCTATCACACAGACTATGAGAAGCGCAAGCCGATCATACTTGGACACCCTATGGTATAGTACCTGCATCACCTGGGTAGGTGATGCAGATACAGATTTATCGCACACAATACACATGCAATACACCCCGCCAAATGAGAAGGCATTAGCTATTTATACAGACGGCTCAAAGACGGAGAAAGGCACAAGCTACGCCTACTGTGTACTCCAAGAAGGAGAAGTAGTTAAAACTTGGGAAAGACGACTGGCAGATAAAAATACCGTCTTTCAGGCAGAGCTTCTTGCATTAAAAGCACCCATCAATTTGGCAAAATATCAATTAGGAATAAAGGCCAACATATATAGCGACTCTGTCTCAAGTTTGGAGTCCATACGAGAGCACAAGACAAGGAGTCCTTTGGTAAAAGATATTCAGAAAAATTCTACTAAGTATCCCACTAGATGACAGACCTACCCTGATCTGGGTTCCAGCTCATGTGAATATTACTGGCAACGAAGCGGCGGACGTGCTTGCGAAATCTGCAGCCAATGACTCCAGTAGATTGGAAAAAGCAGTAAATGTTCCGCAGTCCTATTTAAAAAAATCAAGCTCAATAGCCTTTTACAAGAATGGCAGAAAAGGTGGGAAAGGGAAAGCACAGGGAGGAGAACCTACGAGTTCTTTCCGAAAGTTAACATGCTCAATTAATATATACAGCGGAGCACAAACTCACTTCTACACTGCCAATTGTCCCTTCCCCACATTATCTTAAGAGATTCGGCAAACGAGCATCAGAATTATGTTAATGTGGTGCGGTAGGTGATGCAGATCACTTCCTGTTCAACTCCCCACAAACCGATAAACTGCATTTAAAAATGTCAAGCAGCGAATGCTGGCCGCAATGGGCGGAGAATACCTGCGGCAACAAGCAGACGAAAACTAAAATAGAGGAGGTAATCAGGTTATGCTCAGCAAGGTACTAAGAAATTCTCACGCTCCCTTGAGAATTGTATCTTCGCAATATAATTTTAATAGCAATTCCAAATACTACAACAACTGAAAATCAACACTAGAAAAATAGCTCACCCCGTAGAATAGTAACAGGACTGTAAGAGCAAAACTATTGTAATGTAAGCATATTACATATCAGTTTGTATGTACTTGATAAAAATAATATTGTAAAGCATTTTAAATGATATTGTAAATCCAGTCAATGTGTAAATGAATTACAATTTTACTTTGATTATCTCAGTAAATGTATTGTAAATATGAATTCAGATAATGTTTAAATGTACACATAGCTGTCATGATTTCATGTAATTATGATATGTAACTTGTACAAGACAATGTTCATAATCAACATATCTATGCTTATACACAGGCCTTGTATGCCCATGTAATATTTATATTTATATTTTTACACGGAGGAAATATTCCCTTCTGCCAAGATGACTATTAACACTAAGACTTTTACAACAAAATCAGGTCAGTGGTTATTTCAGGCGGCGCTCAATCATTTATATCCAGTTACAGAAATGTTTTTAAATGACGAAAATATTCATTTAAGAAATATTAAATTTAAAAATAAAACTGAATTTAAAATTTAATGCGATCTCCCGGTTTCTATACTTATATTCTGAAAAGTTCTATTATTGTTGTGAAAAAATAAAATTGTAAGATGCCTGACTCCCATACGGCAGAAATTGACCAGGATATTTAATGTCAGAATTTTTAATTTTTTATCTAATTTTCAACTTGCCTTGAAGAATCGGTTAATTAAGTTAGAATAATTCGAGGAAATAAGTTTAAATGAAGTATAGCGGAAAATGTGCATAATTTTGTAGGCTGTACAAGAAACTTTGATGTTCACAACAGATTTTAAACTGTTAATCTCGGCAAAACCAGAGGAAAAGGAAACTTTTTGCCATTTCAAAGTGAATTTATGACTATTTTTACTTCCTTGTACGAAGTATTGGCGTATTGTAATCGCGAAAAGTTTCAGGCATCATATTTCAACGCAAATATCCATTTCCACCGCTATCGAATGCAATTTAACGATGTTTTTGCGTGATATCTGTACTTAAGAACAGAATAAAGGACTCTTTTCCCCGAAAAAATTTTAAAACTAATTTAAAATGAATTCTGTAGAGAATTTTTCGTGGCGTCTGTGCGTACGTACGTATCTCGCATAACTCAAATACGAGTAGCCTCAGAACGTTGTTATTTTGCATATAGGATTGCTATAACATGTAGATGTGCACCTCTTATTTTGGTTGCAATTGGCCGCACCAAAAGTATATAAATATATGTATATATATCCACTCTGTTACTCGGCTCAGTGATCTCAGTTTCTTTATTCTTATACGCTTGTAAATTGTGCATTTTTTGCTTTAAAAATGATTGAATTATGTCGTTCTTATCTTCCGGTTATGCCTTTAATAAATCTGTATGCAATATTTTTAGAATTATATCCCAGCAAACCTTCGTAGGTAAACGTCCATAACGTAGATGCAGTTGCATAATACATTGCAGATGAGTAGAAAGATAAGATGTTTAGGAAGAGAATTTCTGAAGAAAATGTGTACAAAATTGTGAAAAACTCTTGTGGATATAATAAACAGTCCATAATGGTGATGAAGCAACAGAGTAAGTCAGTAATGATCGCAGGGTCGAACATGTTAACAGAAGTGCGCCGGATGGTCACGTGAGGAGCAAGAATAAGGTGATTTGTTCATAGCAGGAGCTTTAGCGATTGACTGAGAGAAAAGGGGGAGAACCAGAGCGTACAAGCGTTGCAGGGAATGGGACGTTTGTGAGAGTTGTTAACCCTGGAAATTCTGTTAATGTTTTTTAGAAATTTTTGCAATAAATACAGTAATAGGTTTTATGCCAAACTCTTCGTGTATAGTTGTTCGATGTTAATCTTTGGTCAAGTATAACAACAAGATAGGTTATTTGCTTGGACCAGGGGATAGCAGTATTATACACACAAATATTAAAGATGGTATGAAAACCTCTTCGGTATGAAAACGTGACCGCCACAGGTTTTTTGACGTTGATCTTTATTTTCCAGCTCTTAAGGAGCTATAGTGCATGTATGTGATTTTGTAGTGTATGTTTAACTTAATCCAAAGATGCGTTTCGTGCGAGGATCGCAGTATCGTCTGCATACATGGCAATTGTTGTGATGGGAGCGCGGGATATGCCGTTTACATAAAGTAAGAAAATTATTGGTCCAAGTATTGAAGTATTGCTGCCCTTGCGGACACCGGCTTTGATTTGCCGGAGGAGTGTGTATTTTTCAAGCGAACAACAAAGTATCTATCGGTGAAATAGGAATCAATTGTGTGTGTAATGTAGTCTGAGAAACCCAGAGTAATAAGTTTGTAAGTGAATCCCTCCAGCCAAACGCGTTCAAAGGCCTATGAAATATCGAGAAAGAGACCACCAGT